CGTTTTCCACCACTGTTCACTTCATCGATTATTTTAAGTTTTTCTGCCAAGGTTAAGGACTTGTACTTCTTACCACTCATTCTTGCTCACTGCACTCGCACTAACACTCATCAACTAACAATCAATTAGGCCTAACACCGCAAAATCTGACTGACTATTAAAGACGTCTACGTTGCATATAAAACTGTTGGAGACTGATGAGCTAACTGTGGGAAGATCAATAAGAGCATCAGTTCATGTTTCAACAGGATAATTTTTTGTTGTGAATTCGAATTGCAGAGGCTTACGGTAACGCAGTTCGAATTGTAGAGGTTGACTTCGAATTGTGGAGGTAACACTTCGAATTACGGCAATAAATTCGAATTGCAGAGGCTTACGGTAACGCAGTTCGAATTGTAGAGGTTGACTTCGAATTGTGGAGGTAGGCCCTAACACTTCGAATTACGGCAATAAATTTGAATTGCAGAGGCTTACGGTAACGCAGTTCGAATTGTAGAGGTTGACTTCGAATTGTGGAGGTAACACTTCGAATTACGGCAATAAATTCGAATTGTAGAGGCTTGAGTACGTGCAAATTCGAATTATAGAGGCTGCCTAAAGCATAAAAATCACTTCGAATTATCGGTATACTAGCAGAGTACCCGTCCTTCGTACGGGATTGGCATATAAGTATAAAATGCTTATTGCAGTTATACTCAAGCATTGCGTTTACCTCTTTAAATTTACGGTATACTATAGTATTACACATCTATCATAGCCATAATATTCTACCACTTCACCTAAACAATGAGAAAAATAAATTGTAAAAGATTCACAAAATATCACATATCATTCAGGAAATTTAAAACATAAAAGTAACTAACTGTAAACAATCCTACTTTGTTTTTTGTTGTTGCTTAGTTTAAATTAACTGTTTAATGCAAAAAAGTAATAATGCCACACCCTGTTGGTAAATCTTATAACTTTTAATGCTTTTGCATACCATAGAACCAACTTTTTAAGTTGAAACAGCTGACTAAATTCTTTTATTCCCTTTAAATATCAATACTCATATGGTTAACATGGGGAACCATAGAGCCACTGGGGCGGAGCCCGAAAGGATTTTTGAGATAAGAATATGCCTATATGTTAATCGGGGATGTTAGCTATAATCATGCCAAATTTCAGCACAATCCGTCCAGTAGTTAATGCCTGATTGAACTTCAAACAAACAAACAAACAAACAAATAAACAAACAAACACACAAACTTTCACATTTATAATATTAGTAAGATTATTTTTCGAATTTTAGAGGTTTTCTGAGGGGAACAGACAAAAGTTTCTAATTATAGAGGTTTTCGAATTATCGAGGTTCGAATTAGCGAGGTTCTACTGTAGTGTGAAATGGGCTAACCCAACACACACCAATCATTTTATTAAAGGATACTGTAAAAGTCCTTTGGTTTTGGACTTTATATTTATTTATTTATTTACAATTTTCAAATTCTTATGGTAAAAGGGTCAGATTATGGTATGTTAATGCAAAAACATTATGCTGGCTTCAAAATTATTTTATTATTTGGTCAATATTCTTCAGTCAAACCAAAGTTTCTTGCCTCTAAACTCTGGTTAGTAAAGAGTTAAAAATAGCCTAAAAATGTGTCATTTTGATTTTACACTTAAATTTTTTAACTTTTCCAGAGGAACCCCGGTGCTTTCACCCCCTGAAACGCCTATCCCCCCCTTTTGGCATATCCTGGATCCGCCACTGACTACTTCAATGCATGTAGTAACAGCTTTTTTCGCTGCAGTATGACAAAAAGTATCTATAAGTATAAAAGAGGATGTTTGTATGTATATTTGGCAGTGATAAACTCAGACACCGCTGGACCGATGGCCACAAAACTTACATACATGTAGAATTTCATGGAATACTTTTATACATAATTCATTTCGTGATAACTTCCAGGGCTTAGCCCCCTGGGCCCATCTTAAAGGTAACCATGTCAGGAACTTTGAAAGATTATTTAAAAAGAATCAAAGAATGTTATTAACAGCTGTTTCAAATAAACCAATGAGGTAAGTTATATGATGTTCAACAGCATTAACTAGTTACAAAGTTTACCAACAGATTGCAGCACTATTATTTTTTCCCCTATTGCAAAGGGAAAGCATGGGTACAGCAACTAGACAGAATACACCCTTAGTTTGATTTCAGTAGTCCCATATGTCTAATTAGGTTCCGTGATTAGGCTATATAAGAATTAAGAATGTATTTAATCCTTAATAACTGTTACTATACTGAATAATAATGTAAAAGGTCATGTTAGCCCGTGGTGAAGTCACAACTTCTACCGGTTCATAACAAAACTCAAAAGTATGTCGGGGGAAGCCGACGGGCAACAGCTAGTATTTTATAAAATTAAGCGGTACAATTAAGTTTTTCCCTATAAACAACAGTAGGTGTAACTGTTTTCTGTAGATTTAAAGAACCACATTTCTCTCTTCCACATCCTCACCCTGTTGCAAAGCACAGGTAAAGCAACTAGTTTTTATAAGTTTCTCAATAAGAATTGGAAATGTCACTGGTTGTCTAAAAAATACTTTCTCCTGATATATCTAGGTATTGTATAAACAATACTTTTTCTAAAATAGCTTCAAACCTTGTAATTTTTTGTTCCAGAGAGCCAGAGAGTTGATTGTTATTTTCATTTTTACTTCTTGAAGTACCGTAATTCATATTGTAGATCTTTAAGAGCAAAAGCGAGTTCACAGAATTATTTTTGACATAATGGGATCTGGAATCGCTCCTTAAATGGTTAAGAACTAATATAATGAAATGGTTGGATTACCTTCAGTCTTCAGTTCAAAATAGGTCGGTTACTGCAACCTAGGTTTCAACACGATCCTTGTCTAATAGGATGCGTCAGTGTCGCTTGGGTTTCAATTATTTTGTTGAAAATAAAATTGGAGCTGTGGTGGAATTGGTTGTTCAATATAGGTTGTCAGCATCTTCTTTTAATGATTTGTAAACGAGTGAAAATTTAAAAACGTACGTTTTCATGTCCCTGGCCTTTTACTTCGTAGATACTGGATTTGTAGTTTATTATTATGTGTTTTAATATTTTTTGGGACGGGGGCAACATGTTACACACATTTATTTGGTTTTAAATAGGTTCTTGGTATTTTTTTCGTATTTTTAAAGTCTCGAAATTCACGACCATAACGTGTCCCTAGGGTACATTTTCCAACTTTCACGCTGTTTTTAGACTAATTATTCATGCCGAAATATATAAAACCATATTTTTATGTCATCAGTGGTTATTAAACTTACAAAAAATGAGCATATTATAATTTTATTTTCATTGCAAACTGACTAGCATGACAAAATAAGTCTGTCCCTCGATTTGGCGTCACAACCATTTGGGAAAAATTTTCAACTTTGGAGCACGACAGTGGCAAGCCTGGCGTCGATGGAGTCAGTTGGTTTAAAAGACTAGTTAGGGGTGTACGTCAGGATTGTAGTGCCGGTCGTTTCGAGTTGAAAGGAGGAATTACAAGATTAATAAAGGAAAGATTGTGTTTTTTGTAATTTTGGTGTGTCCATGACCGTACGTAGTCATTCGATGAAGTAGACATGGTGTTAATTTTTGTTTAAAAGATATTTGAATTGCTAGACTAACCTAGAAGTCCACTTTGTATCCTCGAACATGAGGTGCAGGGCTACCACCAGAACAGAGCCAAATAACACGTAATTTCACGACCAAAGTTTCACGACCATCGCTGGTTTTTTCACGACCAATCCAGCCTTATGGATTATAGTGTGTTTGGTCGTGACAATAACTTTAATATAATTGTAATTTGAACAGTTTAGTTCAATTGAAACACATATTTTTATTATAACTAACAGTATAATTGAAGGATTGTTTGGAAAGATTTAGATTATTTCAGAAAATTCACGACCGTACCGGTTGTCCCTGACCATCACGTTTATGATTTCTATCATAAATATTTCAAAAATTAAAATATCGTCATATTTCAATGTTTTATACACAAAAGAAGCACACCTCTAAACAAACATAACGATTGTTCGGGTCTCAGGTATGTTTTTTCGGAGTTATACAAACTTAAAAAGATTTTATTGGCTTTTTTTCAATTTTTTGAGTTTTTTTATTTTTTTTTAGAAAGACCAAATATACCAAAAGCTCAGTGACCTTTTTATTGTATAATGGTCATAAAAGTAAATTAGTTTATAGCAAAACATAGTTATAGAAATAATATTAACTATTTTTAATATTCATTTAAACGTCTGTTATGGTCGTGACAGGATTTTGTGTTTTTCCACTAAAGATGCTCTTTTTTAAAAAAAACTACCAAAGATATTTCGTTACCATGGACACTTTATGAAACTTCAAATGTTATTGAAATAAAAATAATAATAAAAGTTTTGAAAAAAGGGGAAAAAAATTTCAAAGTGCTTTTCCTGAAAACGTACGTTTTTAAATTTTCACTCAAACGTGATGCTCTTCTAACGTATCTAATAAAATTCCTTTTTTGCAGAGAGAATAGCAACATTATGCCCAATTAATTTTCCTATTCTATAGTAAATTTCAATTATGTGATGAGCGAATGTAGATTTTTGTTGGGTGAATCGAGTGTTTGGTTTGTCTTTTTTCAATCGGGTTGCAAAGGACCGATATAATATTGCTTACAATCGCCACATTTGAACTTGTATACCTAAAGTTTTGTTGAACGACCAAATCCACCACAGCTCAAATTTATTAATTTTCTTTTTTAAGTACCGATCGGTAAATTATATTTGTTAGTGTGTGTGTTTGTGTCGTATGTATTTTTAACTAAACAAAGTCCACTGTACTGACTATTTCAAACTGGATTGCTTGATGATAGCACAACTTAGTGCTAAAACCTAGGTCGCAGTAACTGACTTATTTTGATCTGGAGACTGAAGGTTAAACCAGTATATGAGTACATAGAAAAATCATATTTAAAAAAATTCTCACGGTTTTGGCTCAGAAATTGCTTTTGAGCAGGGACAAGACTGGTAGGGTGGACTGGACACTAAACCAACTCCTGACAGGACTCCAACTGCCATGTCCATGGTCAGGTTGTTGTTACACATGTAGTATGGAACACAGGTACAGTCCACCTCTGAGACTGGCCGACGACTGACTGTACAATCTACCTGGAGTGGACGAGAGTTTTGAACTTTGTTTTGAGGATAACTGGTGACTTGGTCAATGTAAAAGAACACAAGTGTTGTATATCCTAAGCTGAGGATGACAAGCACCATTATCCTGTAAAAAAATAAAACAAACATCTAAGTATATAATGATTTTTTACTGATTAAGGTTTCACTGACAGAGTAGAAAGGAACCATATGAATTCATATTAGTCGATTTGAAAACATCAACTGATGTAGGAGTAGGATACTAATTTGTTTATTTATAAAGAATCGTCAAAAGCTGAATTATTTAAATTACCTTCTTTAGTATCTTTGTTCTTGAGTTTGTTGTTTTTTTTTCAAATACATTTCGCCACAGTGTGTGGCATCTTCAGGGAGATTGTAGAGATGTTCTATTTACATTATATACACACCAACCATCCCTCGCTTAGGTCAGTGAACAAAGACAGTATGCCTACAAGTATCCACCACGCATATGCGACTGCTTGATATTACAAGGTTTGAGTTTGAACCCAACCAGTGATAGCAAAGTTAATATTTGAATAATCAGCATCTCAAAAACAGGAAGAATAGAACAAATCCACCCTCCTAGGACAAATTTATTTAGCATCATTTGAGTGAAAATTTAAAAACGTACGTTTTCAAGAAAAGCACTTTATAATAATTTTTTTCGCCTTTTCTGAACTTTTTAAAATTTTATTTCATTGCCATTTGAAGTTTCATAAAATGTCCATGGTAACGCAAGGGTCTGACTTAGGGGAGGTACGAATGAGGCATTTAGTTCAAAATTCCTCCGTGAACAGCGCTGTAGTAGAGAGCACTTTGGCAATGAAGGTTTACTAATCGCAAAAATAGTTCTGTTCATGAAATAAAATTATAAATGCCTCAAATTCAATTTTATTATTTTTTAATTATAGAATTAAACTATCATAACCTAACCGAACCAACCAAACTTGCTGATAAAGAAATAATATAACAAAAAGTTTAGTAATCGGAAAAATAATTCTGTTTATTAAATAAAACTAGAAATTGCTCAATTAAAATTTTATAATGACTTAATAATAAAATTAAACTGTAATAACCGAACCAAACCAACCAAACTTGCTGATAATAAAAAACTCTTGGACAAAAAGTTAATACTACTAGTGGGATTCGAACCCGGGACCTACAGAATATCAGCCCGGAACGCTAACCATTAGACCACCGAGGCCGATGGCTATCAACAGTTTTGTTACGGTAATGGCGTTCCCTCAGCTAATAAGAAGCCCACAGCTGTCATCGTAGCCTCTTCTATTCCTCCCCTGAGTAAATACCGGTAACGCAATATCTTTTGGTGGTTTTTTATAATTGCATCATCTTTGACGGAAAAACAAAACATTCTGTCACGACCATAAGGAACGTAAAAATGAATAGCCTATTAAAAATATAGTGTATGGTATTTTTATAAATATGTTTTGCTGTAAATAGATTTAGTTTTAGGGCCATTTTGCAAGAAACAGCTTACAAAGCTTTTGGTATATTTGGTATTAAAAAAAATCAAAAAACTAAAAGAATTGAAAAAAATAAAAGAATTGAAAATATCCCCGCCGCAGCAAACTTGCAGACTAAGCAAATTTCAACTTGTCTGATTACATTTTTACTAAAATATTTCCATAAATAAGACATATTTATTCCCTATTTAAATAACATGAGATTTAACAAGTGCTTAGGTTTGCTGCTACGGGGAAGGCAAAAAGTGTTTTTTACCATATGTCAATAGTATAGGATGAAATAAATAAGTTTGCCAAATGTTATCAATATATAACCATAAACAAGTAAACTACATCAATTTTCATTTTCTCCATAAGAATAACATGGAAATTTTAAAGTACACTATTTTTTAATTTACTCCGTGACCGTTAGGCATAAAATAGCGCTTCATAATATACTAAATTATTTCTTTTTTTAAGCTCTACAAAATAGTTTAAAAATAAATTGCAAAATCTTTTGTTTTTAGGGTCAAAAATGGGAAAACCCCATTTTTACCCCATAAAACCCCCCATAAACCCCCGTTCCGATGGTCCGATTATGCTGGATCGCGAACTCGTTCGGAAGAACGTAGGATTACATGTTTGAACCAAATTTAATCAAAATCGGATCATTTTTGCTTGAGTTATCGCGCTAACGGACACATATATATATATATTTATAAATATATATATATAAATATATAGTACCTGGGGACCGAGCTTTGCTCGGGTAAAATCATTAGTTTACTATGAAAGCAGTCTTAGTATTGCAGATACATTAATCCATTCCCAAACTCCGCACTGCTCACCTGTACTACTTCCTTCACCACTTTCTACGTCGTGGGCCTGTTTCCTTCCTTTCCCATAGCATTTTAAGATTGCAGATACTTTAATTTAATCGTCATAAACAGTTCCCGCACTCCGGACTACTCGCCTTGACTACTTCCTTCACCACTTCCTACGTCACGGACCTGTTTCCCTCCCTTCCCATAGCATTTTAAGATTGCAGATACCTTAATCTAATCGTCATAAACAGTCCCCACACTCCAGACTACTCGCCTTTACTACTTCCTTCATCACTTCCTACGTCGCGGACCTGTTTCCCTCCCTTCCCATAGCATTTTAAGATTGCAGATACCTTAATCAAATCATCATAAACAGTCCCCACACTCCGGACTACTCGCCTTGACTACTTCCTTCACCACTTCCTACGTCGCGGACCTGATTCCCTCCCTTCTCATAGCATTTTAAGATTGCAGATACCTTAATCTAATTGTCATAAACAGTTCCCACACTCCGGACTACTCACCTTGACTACTTCCTTCACCACTTCCTGCGTCGCGGACCTGTTTCCCTCCCTTCTCATAGCATTTTAAGATTGCAGATACCTTAATCTAATCGTCATAAACAGTTCTCACACTCCGGACTACTCGCCTTGACTACTTCCTTTACCACTTCCTACGTCACGGACCTGTTTTCCTCCCTTCCCATAGCATTTCAAGATTGCAGATACCTTAATATAATCGTCATAAACTGTTCCCACACTCCGGACTACTTGCCTTGACTACTTCCTTCACCATTTCCTACGTCGCGGACCTGTTTCCCTCCCTTCCCATAGCATTTTAAGATTGCAGATACCTTAATCTAATCGTCATAAACAGTCCCCACACTCCGGACTACTCGCCTTGACTACTTCCTTCACCACTTCCTACGTCGCAAACCTGTTTCCCTCCCTTCCCTTAGCATTTTAAGATTGCAGATACACCTTAATCTAATCGTCATAAACAGTTCCCACACTCCGGACTACTCACCTTTACTACTTCCTTCATCACTTCCTACGTTGCGGACCTGTTTCCTTCCCTTCTCATACCATTTAAGGATTGCAGATACCGTAATCTAATCGTCATAAACAGATCCCACACTCCATACTGCTACCCTTGACTACAATGTATCGAGTAATCTTCAGTATAATCTTTGCTCAATAGTAACAACTGATGTTTTTCGTTTTGTACTGTTTGTGTTTTGCAAGTATACTGTTGATAGTCAACTCACAAGTCTTTTGTTTACTTTTTCCTTGTTATTTAATTCAGCCAAGATGGTTACTTAGCAACCCATAAGACTAATGTTAAAAAAATGTGAATTTCAGTTTCATTTTTCTACGTAATTAGATTTTTGTTGGTAACAGCAGTAAACTCGTTTTTAGGCCAGAAATAAACTATTTACAAGATTTGAAGAAAATTGTCGGAGCCGTTTTCAAGATCTTTCTGCAAGCAAGCAAGCAACCAAGCATACATACATACAAGCAAACATTGCTCGTATTAGAGTATAGGATATAAATATATATATATATATATATGAATTTGAATGGATGGTGTTTTTGGCCTCTAGGGACCTCAAAATGAAAAATTAAATCGGTCCCGATTCCAGGTCTTACCATGAGTACTACGGTAATAGCTTATTCCCTGTATGGGAAATTCGCTAAAAGCTAAAAAAATCTTTTTAAGTTTGTATAGTTCCGAACAAACCTTCCCGATATATGAAAAAACCTTTATGTTTTTAAAGAGGCCTCGTTCTTGTGTGTATAAAACATTGGAATATGATGATATATCAATTTTAAAATATGATCCAAATCATCAACGTTGTGGTCAGGGTCAAGTGTTATGGTCTGGAATTGGCGATTAACGAGAATCACTATATTGTATATTTAGGTTTTCCTTCCACTACTCTTATTATTATAATATTCCACAAGACTTGATAAACCATAATTAATTTTTTTAAATGTAATTGTTTTACTCATAATCCTATACACTATAAGCTTTAATTTATATGAGGTAATAAAGATACCTGTCTATGTAAAAATAGTAAAAAATGTAATTTGTTTACATCCTTCAATTAATTGTACTGTTTTAACAATAGTTGGTGTTGCAATTAAACTAAACTGTGCAATTTACAATGATATTAAAATTTATTTTCACGACCATAACACAGTACAATTGATAAAGCTATTTTTGACGTGAAAAAACTTGTGATGGTTGTGAAATCACACATTATTTGGCTCTGTTCTGGTGGCAGCCTTACACCTCATGTTTGATTAGGCAAAGTGGATTTCTAAGTTAACGTAGCAATTAAAATATCATATCAACAAAAATTAACACCATGTCTACTTTATTACATGACTACGTACGGTCGCGGACACACCAAAATTACAAAAAGCACAACTTTACCTATATTAATCTTCTACTTCATTTTTTTACTGCAAAACCACCGACACAACATAACTAACACACATCCTGAACCAGTCTCTAAAACCAACTGACGTTATCGCTGCCAAGATTGCCACTGTCGTGTTCCAAAGTTGCAAATTTTGCCATTATGGTCGGGACGTCAAATCGAGGGACAGACCTATTTTGTCATGGTAGCCAGTTTGCAATGAAAACAAAATTATTATAGTCTCAATTTTGTAAGTTAAATAGCTATTGATGACATAAAAATATGGCTTGATATATTTCGGCATGCATATTTAGTCTAAAAACAGCGTCAAAGTTGAAAAATGTACCCTAGGGACACGTGATGGTCATGAATTTTGAGACTTTAAAAATACAAAAAAAAAAAAAAATACCTAGAACCTACTTAAAACCAAATAAATGTGTGTAACATGTTGCCCCCGTCCCAAAAAATATTAAAACACTACATAATAATGTACTACAAATACAGTATCTACGAAGTAAAAGGCCAGGGACATTAAAACGTACGTTTCAAAATTTTCACTTGTTTACTATATTAGGCCTACTATTAAAACTTTACAAAATTAAAATAATAAGAAATAAAATGAGCACCTGCACAATAACAATAACAAAAAATAATATTCACCTGGAATGAATTCACTTACTTCTTGATGGTATGAGTCTAGATTGGTTCTGGCCTTCATTGTTGAAGGGACCGAGACTGATTGTCATAGGAAACGGAGAGGGGACATCATGATTGTTTGGTTCTGCTTTGTTTACTTTACCAACTAGGTTGAATGTTTAGCATTTATAAAATGTATACTAAGAGTTTTGAATTCTTATAATAATCAATCAGATTGTATCCGAATAGTAATTAATTATTTATATCAGTAACAACGCCTAAGTACATAAATTTAGAAAAAGTGAATATAGTGGACCCTCTTATTCATTTTCAATCAACAAAAAATAAAATTGCTGAACTTGAAACTGGTTAAGATGGATAGCTGATTAACTATTTTCCCAACTCACTAGGATGTTAGTGTGTTATCTTTATTTATTTAGCTGACTGACATTTTAGCCTAATTCCTAGGGGGGAGGGATGATTATATACTTTAACAGCTTTATGACATAGTTAATCCCTCGTACTCCAGGAAAGAATTCCTTGAGTTAACTACAACTATCTATATGATTAATACGCTACATGAAACTTTGTCGGTTGAACTCCTCCGCCATTTCTTAACCGATTTTATCCATTGGCGTCTCATTGGAAAGAGTGTGTTGCGTAGATTTGCAAACTGGCCTTACATTTTTGATAAAGTCCCTTGGGCTCTGCCCCAGTGGCTTTGAAAGTCCCCATGTTATCCTTATGAAGAACATAATTGTTTACATTTTGATCAGCTGTATAATTTAATTGCTGTTATTTATTTTTCAATTCAATGAAACACATTGAGTACATTTATTTACTATTTGAGTTTGTGTAAACATAATCCCCAAGACGGATCGTGTTAGCATGGTTGTATCTTAAATTTGTGTATTTATCGTTGTTTTGTGTTTATATGACGGATCGAGTTAGCATGATTGTAACTTAAATTTGTGCATTTATCGTTGTTTTGTGTAGCTATAATTTGTTTATTTGATGTTTTTTTTATTTTAAATGCCTCCGACGCGTCGACAACGAAACATAGATAGGAGGCGTAATCGTGATAACGACCGCAGCTACAGAACAGTGGCACGTAATAGGCTTAACTCTTAACTCATCACAGTCAGCACCTGACCCTAGACAATCTCAACTATTAGGTTACAAATGCACCCTAACACTACCCCAAAACGACTTTTCGTTCTCAATTTGCCCTCTATCAATGACCTGTGTTGCCTGTACAAATAATAGAGATCGATGCCTGTACAGCGAGGCATTTTGAGAAGGAAAAAACCGGCCGGAATGCTTTAGGTTTATTAATAACGAAGATAAACATGGTCTGAGTTACACACCGGTAATCTTTGAGTTGACTTTTTTAAACTCATTGTAAATATGACTGTTATTCGTTTTGAAATAACTCCTGTAATACTTTGCAATTGCTCAAATTCAAGCAACATGTATACTAGTTGTCATTAATTAGCCCCATTTTATAAACAGAAAAATCTTAATTCTTATAAGACATACTTTCAGTGAATAAACTGCAAGGTTGTCTAGTATATTTGTCCCACAAAGAGTTTAAAAGTATGCTTTTGCTTTTATATTACTAGCCCATTTATGCACTGAAAGCTTTGAAACTTTACACAATTTTTAAAGATAGGTTTTTGTAAATATTTTGTGGAAATCACAGATTTTCAAACCTAATAGAAATAAAATGGTGGCTCATTGAAAGTATTTTACCAATTTGGCTCCTAATTACTTTGAAGAGCTATTTTCTATTACCTGGTTTGATTACTACTTTGTACGTTTTTACACTTATTGCTGAACAGCTTTTTGGAAAATATTGCTTGAACCATAAAAAGATTACCACAACGTAATCTTTTTAAGAAGTGCAGTTTTAATCAAGATAAAGTTCAAAGAATTACTTTAATGTTAAACAAAAAGTGAAGTGTTGTGCGGTAAATATACTTATTTTTAAAGTAACAGAAGCAGTTGCACAATTTTTATTAACACTACCTTCGTTATAATATTTGCCCATTTAGTTTTTGTTGGATCACTAGACAGTTCAACTCCTGGGTTCAACCTGAAATTGTCTAACTGCTTCTATAACGTTACCAAAGGCAAATATCATGTAAAACACTTCACCTGTTTGTCCAAAAAAAGCAAAAGGCGATTTCTTGAACTTATATTTTTAGTGAAACTGCGCTTTGGTTGTATTTTTATCGCTCCAACAATATTCTTTAATTAACAGCTGTTCAACAATAAGTGTGAAAACACAGTAAACAAATCAGGCAATAGCTCAAGGATTGAACAGAATTTTAAGGGGTTAGCCAGATCCCCTGAACTCAGATAAAAACCTAGATGAATTAAATCTATTAAACACTCATGAAGTAAATGCACCACTCTGCATCAAAGGAAACATAAATTAAATCTCTAGAGTGTGGTTTACTTTGCTTATCATCACTTACTTTTGTTTCTCTTGGGACATCCAACATTCACAATTAACAGCTTGTGTAATACTACTTTACCACAGCTCTGTACAATTGAATTACACAAGTAAAGAGAAAGCATAAAATGATGGAGCCCACACCAAATACAGTAGCAATATCCAACTGTGCAATTAGAAGCCCTTGACATGGATGGAGGAACCTTCCTGCCCTGCCACAATGATCATCATGTTGCTGTCACAGTAAGTAGAGCATAGCTTATAACAGGGGGGTTCTATTTGATACTGTAAATGATCAATTATAGAAACATACTGAAATTCTAGTGTGTTTTCTAACTAATTCGTAAAAGAAAATAATACAAATAACATTGTTATTTATGTCAAATTAGTTTTGAATTCTTTTAATTCAAGACCAATTAAACAAAAATAATTTAAAAAATTAAAGCTTAAATTAACGTAGATTGTTTTTTTTGTAGATTGTGGGGTTTGAATCTTAAGAACCTTATCCATACTATTATATAAATACCCCCGCCGCAGCAAACCTGCAGACTAAGCAAATTTCAACTTGTCTGATTACATTTTTACTAAAATATTTCCATATATAAGACATATTTATTCTCAATTTAAATAACATTAGATTTAACGAGTGCTTAGGTTTGCTGCTACAGGGAAGGTAAAAAGCGTTTTTCGACCATATCCTAAGTCAATAGTATAGGATGAAATAAATAAATTTGCCAAATTTTATCAATATCCATAAACAAGTAAACCACAACAGTTTTCATTTTCTCCATAAGAATAACATGGGAATTTTAAATTTGCACTTTTTTGAATTTTCACCGTAACTATTAGGCATACAACAATGCTTCAATATACTAAATTATTTACTTTTTTAAGCTCTACGAAATGGTTGAGAAAAAATTCCAAAATTTTATGTTTTTAGGGTTAAAAATGGGTAAAACCCATTTCTACCCCCGAAAACCCCCCATAAACCCCTGTTCCCATGGTCCGATCATGCTGGTTCGCGAACTCGTTCAAATCAATGTAGGTTTACACGTTTATACCAAATTTCATCAAAATCAGATAATTTTTGTTCGAGTTGACGGACACATATATATATAAATATATTTATATATATATATATATGAATTTGAACGGATGGTGTTTTTGGCCTCTGGGGACATCAAAATGAAAAAGTAAATCGGTCCCGAGTCCAGGTCTTACCATGAGACCTACGGTAATAGCTTATTCCCTATATGGGAAATTCGCTAAAATCTAATGGTGTCTGTCTGTATGTGTATTACTAATAGGTGCAAAACCTACTGAACCAACTGGGCTTAAATTTAAAAAAAATATAGCTACTATACCAAGGACCATTATAGGACTATTCACACTTCGATACTGACCGTGGGCTTTGCCCCTTTGGCTTTAAAAGTTCTGAGGTGAGGATTTTAAAAGTAAATATTGATTGGTCTCCATGGCTGCTAGCAATGAGAATACAGTAGAGCCCCTCAAACTCGGCACTCGATAACCCGGCAGTCTGGATAGCTCGGCCATCACCTGGCTCTGGATTTTTTGAGTCCGAGTTAAACATGGATGCAAGCCAGCTCAAGTCAAATCATTCGCAACTCGTACCAAGGATTTGTTGTACTATATCTGATGACTAAATACCATAAACTAAACAACACAAGTAGACTTCTCGTCTCATTGTAAATTTTGAAGCACGTTTTTCGTGTCTAGTTCATGTACGTTGACACTGGGCGCTAGTGTCAATGAAATGTTGTTTTTATAATTTTAGGGTTAATTTCTTGATTTGTACAATACTGTATGGTTATATAACTAGGGGACAAGTTATTGTTTATGATTAGATCGTATTAATTGGTTAAATGAGGTTTTAAATGACTGTAATAACGGGAAACACATTGTAAACAAAACACGACCTCTACATAAACCGTACAGAACTAACAATAAAATTGTCTTCAGCAGTTTCATAAGGATGAGAAATCTACTAAGGGAGTATGTTTTATCTATGTTAATACTGACTTAATAAATAATAAGTCGTAATAATTGATTGATTGATTGATTGATTCTGTAGGGGCGGACCTTGTCCTGTTGCACGTCAGCCACTGATGTGCTTTTTGCACTCCCCACATGGTACTTCAGAGTCTGTCAAACCTGAGTTGCTTAATGAACTCCAGCATCCTGTCTATGAGCTCCTCCTGAGGAAGGTGTCTCCCCCTTGTCATTGCACCAAGAGTACTGTCCCTTACCTCATTCAGAGCTGTGCAGTCGTAGAGTAGGTGATCAGCAGTCTCCTCTGATTGCCCACATTTCCTACACGCAGTGTCACCATTGTGGATCCTCAAGCGATGCAGGTGCAATTTCAGGAAGCCATGTCCAGTGACCTTCCTGTGATCTGTCTGAGTTGCTTCCTGTCTAAACATAGAGCATTGGAGGCGACCGTCTGGGAAGGGGAGAAGAGGGTGAGCTTACTGACCCTATGGTGCTGAAGCCTAACCCATCTTTTCCTGTGTTCCTCCTGAGCCCATGACATGACTGAGTGACATGCATGCCCACGAGAGATTCCACAGAAAGGCTGTGGTCCCACGAAGTCTGAGGCTGATGCGACATTTGCTAGCCTGTCAGCCACCTCATTCCCTTCTATCCCTGAGTGCCCAGGAACCCAACAGAGTGTTACCTTGTTGCGCCTGCCCAGGTCACATACCGCAGAAAGGCAGTCCACCTTAGAATTGAATTCATAGGAGTCGAGCGCTTTGAGCGCAGCCTGGCTATCTGTAAAAATGGAAATGTTGATGTCCCTGAAGCCTAGCCTCAGGTTTTCCCTAGCACATACCATTATCGCAGTCATTTCGGCCTGGAACACAGTTGGGTGAGTGCCCATAATAAGACAAATGTCCACCCCGTTCTGCACTCCATGAATTCCAGCCCCAGTCCCACTTCTTACCTTTGAACCATCAGTATACCATTAAAGGTCGCCTTGTGGAAGAGGATTCCCACCGGACATCCACTCATCCCTGGACGGAAGAAGGACAGTGAATGGTCTGGCGAAGAAGAATCGAGTCGGCATGTGATCCGAGGGCATGTCCATTACCTCCCCTCTTACCTGCTGAGTGATCCAAAAGTGACCTCGGGATCCTCCAACATCCAACCAAAGGTTTTCACACTGGAGTCTGTAGGCAGTCCTCCTCGCAGTGACCTTGACATACAGGTCAATCGGAGTGAGGTTGAGAAGGCAGTCCAGTGAGGCTCCCGGACAGCTGCTCATTGCGCCCGTGATGATGAGACAGGCGAGTCTTTGGACGGCAGCCAGATCTCTCACCGCCCACACCGAGTCCATCTTGGGCCACCACACGAGTGAGCCGTATGTCATGGGGGGCCTTACCACGGAGACAAATAGCCAGTGCATGAGCACCGGCTTGAGCCCTCAGGTTCCTCCCACCATCCGTCTGCAAGCCATGAGTGACCAATTACCTCGATCAATGACCTTTTGGAGTTGTGGCCCCCATTGCAGCTTTCGGTCCAATACCACACCCAGGTACTTTACCTGATTCTGCATTTCAAGCACTGTGTCTTGTAGTCTCAGAGATCCTATGCCATTTAGATCGCGCCTCCTCGTGAAGGGGATAACCGCCACTTTGGAGGGGTTGATAGAAAGGCCTACCTCTGTGCACCATTGTCCAAATGACCTCAAGGCTGTGTTCATGAGGTCGGAGACCGTGTTGTTGAATTTACCCATGACCAGTATCACAATGTCATCCGCGTATCCTTAAACGAATACACCACTGTCACTGAGAGATCTAATTAAGTCATCCACAACAAGGTTCCAGAGAAGAGGAGAGAGTACACCACCCTGTGGACACCCTCGTGTGGTCCTGGCCTCCAGAACCTCATTGTGAAGAGAGAGTCTTACCTTCCTCCTCCTAAGTAGAGACTCTACCCACCTGCACACCACCTCATGGAATCCACGAGCTCTGGCAGCATTGATGACAGCCTGGGTTTCAGTGTTGTCAAAGGCGCCCTGGATGTCAAGGAACGCCCCGAGGGCAATCTCCTTGAACTCAAACGCCTTGTCGATTCTGCTTACCAGGTGATGTAGGGCAGAGTCATAGGATCTTCCTGGGGTATAGGCATGCTGATTTCTATGTAGGGGATTGACTCTGAGGACTGTGTCCCCCACATACCTAAGCACCAGTTTCTCTAGGGTCTTCAACAGGAATGAGGACAGAGAGATGGGACGGAAGGACTTGGGATCCGTGTAACTAGCCTTACCAGGTTTAGGGATGAAGACCACCCTTGAAATGCTCCAGGCCGGAGGAATGTGTCCCATAGCCAAGCTGGCCCTGAACAACTTGCTCATTGCCGGAAGTAATATATCAATACCTTGCTGGAGACAGACAGGTCTTACCTCATCAGGTCCAGGTGATTTGTATGGGATGAGTGACCTTATGGCCCCTCTCACACGACTGTGTGTCACAATGTGGCACGCAACCCTCCACCGAGTGTTGTTTGCCCTTGCAACAGCTTGTTCCTCATCCTCCGGCTCCATTGGCTCACTTGGGATGATGCAACCAGGGAAGTGGGTGGCCGCCATGAGCTTTAGCACTTCCTTAGGTGCATACAGCATGTCTCCCCCAGGCTCCTTGAGGGGGCCTAGCTTGGAGGAGTTGTCCTTTGTTAGGACAGTGTATATCCTGAATGTATCTCTAACACTTTCCAGCTTGCTACAGAAATGTTTCCATGAGAGCCTATTGGCCCTCCTTACTGCAATATTATATTGGGTTAGCAATCTATGGTAGCCATCCCAATTATTTGTCCTCTTCGCCCACCTAAATTGAGTCCTGACTCTCTTTTTCAGGCTGGCAAGCTCTGTAGTCCACCAATTCACTTTACCCTGCTTCCTCACCGTTAGCGGGCAGCTCTCGTCAAAGGACGAGTCAATGGCCTCACCTAAGCATCCAGAGGCAAGGTCTAGCGTGTTGGTGTCTCTGACCCAAGTGAACTGTGTGTCAAAGCATTTAATGCGCTCTTTAAGAGTTGATCTGTACATATCCCAATCCGCCTTTCTGGGATTC